ATGTATGTTACATGTATTTCTTCCTAGTTTTCTTTTTCCTTTACGGGTTTCTTTCTCCTTATTAAAGTATGATGGGGAACAGGACTGATGCTCACCAGATTGGATATGGAGTCAGGCCCATGAAGGCATGTTTTTTCTTCAGAAAAAAAAAGAAAAAAGAGAGAAAAAAGAAAAAGCGGTCCGACGGGATATCCGTTCCGTTAAATTTGGAATGGCTCCTGCGCAAGGACGACACGCACAAGAAAGGGTCTAATTAAACTGAAAGGAAAGGACAAAGCCGGGGGGGGGGAGAGGGGGGGGAGAAGGGGGGGAGGAGGAAGGGAGGGGAACTGGGCGGAAAATGGCGAAGGGGGAAGGACCAGGGCGGGGGGGGAGCGCGGATCAATTGCTGATTACGACAAACACCAAACGCAGCCTCGTTTGCATGCATACGGTAGAGGCCCATATGCGTAGAACCCCCCTGCAGGCCCTCCCTCTCTCTCTCTATATATAAGATAAATCTTAAAACCTTTTGCTGGTATTTTGTTTTTTTTTAATTCCAGCATGGCATAATAGCATTGACGAGATGTTGGGCCTCGCTCCACTCCACTACTCTCCAGATGTGAAAACGAGAGTGAATCTTCCCCCCTAGAACATGGAAAGATAAAACGCCATGATTTTTGTCCTTTCTGTATGTCGTGAGTGTAGTGGAGCGAGGCCCGTTTGCCACTGCTGCTACCATATACCCTCCTCTTTTTTTTCTTTTCTTTTTTTTTTTTTCTCTCTTCTTTTTTTCCTTTTTCCTTTTTTTCCCCCTCCCCCTCTCCCCTTCCTCCCCCCTTCCCCTCCTTGCCAACCATTTACTACCGTTACTGGCACCTTTTACTACCGCTCTTTCTCCTTCTTCTTCTTCTTCTTCTTTTTCTTCTTCTCCTTCTTCTCTTCTTCTTCTCCTCCTCCTCTCCTCTCTTCTCTTCTTCTTCTTCTTCTTCTTCTTCTCCTTCTTCTTCTTCTTCTTCTTCTTCTTCTTCTTCTTCTTCTTCTTCTGCTGCTGCTGCTGCTGCTGCTGCTGCTGTTTCATCTCCTTCTTCCTTGACACTATTCTTCTTTCAAGTCGGTGTCGCCTTCCTCTTCTTCTTCTTCTTCTTCTTCTTCTTCTTCTTCTTCTTCTTCTTCTTCGACTTCCTCTCCTTTGCCTTCTTCCTATTCTCGTGAAATCAGCCACTACTATTTATTCATTTGTGATTTTTAAGTTCAGCACGCGCAGGAGTTCGGAACAAAGAATGGCTCTCCCGTTCAAAAGCGCTCTTTGTTAAATCAGAAGAATGCCTATTTTTATACCGTGAGTGCTCTTCCAAGTGTGTATCTTCCAGCAGCAGCAGGAGAAGAAGAAGAAGAAGAAGAAGAAGAAGAAGAAGAGAATGGCTATTTTTATTTCATTCTTTGACCCGAACTCCTGCGCGTGCTGAAATTACTGTAACAACGAAGGGTACTCGCTTTGGAACTGGAGACCGCTCAATTCTGGAAGGGAGTACCCTTCGTTGTTACTGTATTGATT